TACATGCAATCTTTTATTAGTTCATCAACTTGCTAAAGATCTCAATTGTGCAGTGACATTCTTTCCTGATTTCTTAGTTTTGCAAGGCTTGAGGATCGGGAACTTGATTGGAGCGACTAAATGTCATGGTGATCTTTATCGAATGAAGAAATGAAGGGAGAAATGAAGGCATTGGATGTCAACATGGATTCGTGGCACAAACGTATTGGGCATGCTTCCGAGGTTAAACTATCTTGCATTAGTTTTCTTAAGGTTGTTTCTTGAAAATTAAAAGGAAAAGTTTGTAATGCTTGCAATAAAGCCAAATTTACACGTTTACCTTTTCCGGTTAGCTCAACTAAAACAAATACATGTGTTGAATTAATTCATTGTGATATTTAGGAAAATATAGAAGACCATCGCTTACCGTGGCAAATCATTTTCTCACTATTGTCGACGACCATAGTAGAGGAGTTTGGGTTTATTTGTTATAACACAAATATGAAGAAAGTTCTTGTTTGATTGATTTTTGCAATATGGTTAAAACACAATTTGGTAAGGGAGTAAAAATGATATGATGTGACAATGGCGGAGAATTTGTCTCAAACCAAATGAATCAACTTTATACCAAACAAGGAATTGTTTTAGAAACTTCTTTTCCCCATACCCTACAACAAAATGGGATAGTTGAAAGGAAACATAGGCACTTATTGGAGATAGCACGAGCATTACGATTCGAGGCTAGTCTTCCCACTACATTTCGAGGGGGAGTGTGTCCTTAATGCTGCTAATATTGCTAAACGATTGCCATCGAAAGTTATAGGGAATAGAATTACTTATGAAATGTTAATGGAACATGTCACCACATACAATCACATGTGTGTTTTTTGGATGTCTCGTCTACTAAAGAAACACAAAAATGAGAGGTGACAAATTTGAACCTCGAGGAAAACCTTGGGTTTTTCTTGGCTATCCTTGTGGATGAAAAGGTTACAAAATATATGATCTTGAACAAAGAAAACTAATTGTGTCGAGGGATGTTAAATTCGTTGAAAATGTATTTCCTTTTGAGACTTTAATGTGGAAAAACCAAGGCCATGATGATCAACTTTTTGAATATAGTAATTTTGTTGTTGAACAAAATGATCTCATTATCAATAATGAGGAAACAAGTAGAGTGCATGCAGAATTTGATAAAAATGAAAATATTGAAATTGACCTCACCACCATTAACGACATAGTGGAGTCTCATGAGAATATTAATGTACAAGAAAACCCAAATGAGGAAGTGGTGAGAACAATATAGAAATAAGCCCAAATGAAGACATACATGAAAACTGTTCTAATGAAGAAATTTTCATGCACCAACCTAGTGATGGAGAACGACCCAAACGACACAGAACCATTCCATAATATTTGAAAGACTATCGGGTCAAACTTCCCCCTTCGATCAACCATACGTCACCCGACTTCGACCAAGAAAGGTCCACGGTACATCCTATTGCCCATTACATTTCTTATGAAAAATTTTCTAACATCAATAAGCATCTTTATTCGCCACCAATTCTCATTATGAGCCTAAGTCTTTTTACCAAATTGCAAAACACATGAACATTGGAGAGACTCCATGAAAGCCGAAATCAAGGCACTTAAACAGAACGACACATGGACAATAGAAAAACTTGCCAAAGGGAAAGAAAGCCATTGATTCTAAGTCGTTGCACAATGTCAAATTTAAACCAAACGACGAGGTGGAAATGAATAAAGCAAGTCTTGTGGCGAAGGGTTTTACGCAAGTTGAAAGTGTTGATCACTATGATACTTTTTCACCGGTCGCCAAACTTGTAATCATAAGAACACTCCTTGTCATTACCGTCAAATGAAGATGGGAGATCCAACAACTTGATGTAAAAAACGCTTTCCTCCATGGATCCTTAGAAGAAGAAGTTTACATGAAGATACCAGGAGGATTTGCTGACAGAGATAAAATAAAAGTTTTCAAATAAAAGAAATCGATACACAGTTTGAAACAGGCTTCTCGAAACTGGTATAAAAATTTTTCCTCGTTTCTCTTTGAACTCGGATATAAACAATCAAAAGGTGAACCATTTTGTGTTCCTCTACAAGCATGGAGATAAGTATGTCGTGCCGTTAATTTACGTGGATGACGTCATAGTTGTGGGAAATAGCGTGGATCGCATACGAAGCACAAAATTACATCTTGACAAAGAGTTCAGCATGAAGGATCTTGGTTCCCTAAAATATTTATTGGGTATTGAAGTCGCAAAAACACCAAATGGCTTGGTTCTTAGCGAACGTAAATACAGATATTCTCAGATAGCGGTCTTCAAGGGTGTCGTTCTAGTGCCTTTCCCATGAAACCCAACTTGAAACTTGATAAAGGAGGAGAAGAAGAAAAGATAGATAACAATCAATATAGGAGACTTATTGGTCGTATACTTTATTTACAAGCAACCTGCCCTTGATATTTCATACTCCGTTAGTGTGCTAAGCTAATTTGTGGGAGATCCAAGACAAAACCATATGGACGCGGCCAGAGAATTTTGTTACCAAAACAAGGAGACATAAAGCTTTCTATTATTGTGATTCTGATTGGCTTGGTTGCCCATTTAGTAGACAATCCATATATGGATATTTACTTCTGTTAGGTGGAGCTACAATCTGTGGTATCCCGTTCTTCTGCTCCGCTGAGGCTGAATATCGTGCCATGACTACCACAGTTAGTGAAATTTTATGGGTTAGATGGCTTCTTGAGGAATTAGATGTTCTCAAAAATAGTCCTACACCATTATTGAATGACAATCAGGTTGCGCGTCATATCACCAATAACCCTGTTTTCCATGAACGAACCAAACACGTCGAAGTGGATTGCAATTTTATTCGGAAACGTGTTGAGCGAAAAGAAATTGTGCCAATGTACATTGATTCAAAACAACAAATCATTGACTTACCCACCAAACCGCTAGGCTCAAATCAGCTTGGCATGCTTCTTGTCAAGTTGGGCATTCATGATCTTCATACTCCATCTTGAGGGGGAGTATTGGATATCTTTGTATTTTTTTGGTTGTATATTTCATGCTTTGTTGAAATTGTCTTTCCTTAGTTATAGCCTTAGTTTTAGCTTTCCTTGTTGTACATTGATTGTATATGTAATCCTTTTCTATTATAATAAATTTCAACACTTTTGGTACCAATCACTTCGAGCATCATGTGGCTCTTATGTGACATGTAGGTTGAGAATGATGGAAGGAATAGACTCCATGTCCTTATGGTATTCGTTTGTTAAGATGTTTTCCTTAAGTAGGATGTCATTTAAAAGAGTTTGTTAACCGTTAGTAAAATGAAAATTTTAACCTTAGTTCTATATGTTATATTTTATTTATTATATTAATTTTAATATGAGGTCCACTCAAACAACCACCATTCCCTTCAATTTGCGTTCCCATGAAAAGTCCCAACCCACCGGTAACCCTCCTCTCCGGTTACATCATTGCCACCATAAAAACGTTTAAAGAAATGGGGATGTACAAAAAAAAAATCTGAGATGAAAAAAAAAATCAAATGATTGAAATGGACACCAAAGAAAACAAAGAAATGAAGACTAGCAAAAAAAAAAAAAAAAAAAAAAAAAAAAAAAAAAAAAAAAAAAGTAGTACTTACAATGGTAATCTATATGTACAAGATAAACAAAGAAAAAAAATAAAGAAACTGTCATGAATAAACGAGAATAATCATACACAAACAAATATAAATAGAAATTGTAAGTTTACTTGATTATTATTTACTTATAATTATAATATTATTTACGATTTTTTTAATTATTAATTATTTTTAATTGTTTTTTTCGAATAGTTGGTCAGATGCAATGATAATGATAAAAAATCATTGTTGACTTCTAATGAAAACTCTATAATCATTTGTTTTTAAATTTTTTATATTAAATAACCCAACAACTAATGATAATATTAATTTTTTTTAAGTTATTCTACGCCAATAGCATTCATAATAAACTTTTTGTTAGAGTTTTTCATAGAAAACCTTAAAATGAAAAAAAAAATCATTTATGATTTAACTATATCATAGAAGAGTTTTTTCAATTTGTTTATTAATGAGACCCATTAATTTTGTTTTAAATTTTATTGTTATTTGTATCAATTGTATTTTAACAATCATCAAATGATGAAAAAGTTAATGAGAAGTGGTTGCTAATTCACAAGCACCTTGAAAAACATTTGGTTTGAGTTGTGAGATTAAAATTTGAGTAACTCTATTTTAGAGTGTCTTAATAATGATAGTAATTAGTATAATAATAATTATAATATGAGTTTTTTAAGAGTTTTTTCAACCAAAAAATAATTTGTATGTGATCCATAAATAAAATTTGTGAAAAACTTTCCTAGTAGCAAAGGTAACTTTAAATTTTTTTTTATTTTTGGAGTGGGCGCTTATGTTAGATAAGAAGTTTAATGAAAAAGCCTTCATCTTATATGGATGCTAGCAACATATGAAAACAAATACGTAACCAGTGGTCCTAATTACTCCGATGTCCTAGTTAGTGCCTTGGTGCATTTGATATGGGTGAAGGTGCATCGTTCTTTTTTCTTATTTTTTGACAATTTTAAAGTCTTTTTTAGAGAGTTCAGTAATTAACTAGTCAAACAATTTAGTGGAAGATGTTCAACATCCTCCTACTAAATATTCTTAGGATGAGGAAAAAAAGTAGTGGATTACACATGTTAATCTATGAGGATAAATTATGACAAATTTATTTTTCTTTACTGAACTACATCCCAAACCAATTATACTTTCGAGATTTATTCAATTAATCGATTACCAGTAAACATATATAATAATACTTGCTTTGTCAGTTTGTCACTCAAATCCAGTAGCATTACATTTTCCAAGAAACCTCATAATAACCAGATTATAAATTATACTAATTTAAGAAAAAACACTCACACAGTAACATAGTAATATATAAGAAAAGTATACGTACGTACCATGAGTAACGACAGATTTATGGACAAAAGGTAAGACACGAGGAACTATATCCTCGGATAGGCCAATAGGTTTAGATGTTGCTTGAGTTGTCAACTGCACCATCTCCTTTAAATCTCCAAACAAGAACTTATATGAGCTACCCTTAAGACCTTGATCTCTTAAAAACTTTTCTATCTTCTTTGGTTTGAACCATACCCAATTTAAAAATCTCAATACATAAAACGCCAACGTTACTACTACTCCCACAACATAGCACACTCCGGTAACCTCCATTTGGAAAACAGAGTTGGCGGCGTTTGGTCAACCAAAGGTTGTTAAAGGGTTTTGGTGTTTGAGTGGTAATGGAGAATGAGGATACTTATAGATGGATATATATTCACTTGACTACCTTAGCGTTTGGGTGATTGTAGTTGTGCCCCAGTAGGTTTTGCTTGTTTTTCAGTAATGCCCCAATCTTCACCACAATATAAAAGTTAAAAATTTTGTATTACCAAAAGAAACTTTTTCTTTAATTTGAGTTTTTTCTCAAAAACCAAAAGTTAAAATCTCACTACTGAAAAGAAAAAAAAAAAAAAAAAAAAGAAAAAGAAAAAAGTACCCTAAGTCTAAAAACCATAAGCCAAACACAACACCATAAAATCGACTCCAAATAAATCTAGAACATAAAATCGTATTGAATACAACCAATTCTGGTTCTTGCTTAGCGCGATTATTTGATTGTTTCGGTTCCAACTTTGGAGTTTTCATATTGTTTAAAAGTGTTTCGAGAGTAATGAGATAATTTTTACAACAAATACTAGAACAATACCTATATCAAGCTTGAACGCATGATATTTTTTGATAATATGAGTAGCATAATGAGTACACATCATATAAAAAAGCCGCCACCACATAACATAAATTAAAGTACATCCATTTAAGACTAATTAAAGTTTGCGTAAAATCAAGTGAGCACCAAATTGGGGCTGAAGGGTACCAACAACATGTGGTGCGTGCAAGTATGATGGAGAGATCTCAAAAGAGAAGCGTTGTAAAATCATTGCAAGCACCATTTTCGCTTCCAACATAGCAAAATTTTGTCCAACACATATACGTGGACCTCTTCCAAATGGGAGGTAACATGTTTGTCCATTTGTCACCTTTAACACACCTTCAGAAAATCTTTCAGGATTGAACTTTTCACGTCATCACCCCATATATAATGATCATGGTGTAAAAGGATAGTACTCACATGGAGGAGAGTTCCAGATGGCACTGTTATCAAAAGTCAAATAATTTTGATTTGAAAACAGCAACGTGAAAGTTGAAATGAAATTTTTTGCAAGATTAGTAATTGTAAAATATTTTGAATATATTTCCTCGACAACAACTAGCAGGTGCAAGCTAGAAAACAAAAATAGGAACAAGAAATTGCTAATTTCTTACAAGGATCCTTAAATAAATATTTTATTAGATATGAGATTAAGGCTTAAAATTCTTATAATTTTGTTAATGATCTGGTGGATAATTCCAATGATCTAGTCGCTAATTTAAATGATCATGATGATAATTCTAATGATGTTGAAAGTAATGAATTTTGTAACACCTGTTTTCCAGAATGTATCAGTTGGTGACCTGAAGGAGTCAAAGGTATGGTTTTTGAGGAAAACCATTTACCACGACGTGGCATGGCTTTTAAGAACTGCGTATTTCTAATGGACACCACGGCATAACAAGTAGTGTGCCACAACGTGGTGGCTGTAGCAGCCCAAGCCCATGATTTTAGGGTTTCTCCCATATTTAAACATCTTAATTCGTAGATTAGGTATTCTCCAACAGCCCCTCATCTCCTCATTTCGAAACCCTAGCCTCCATGCATCATTGAAAGCTTGTTTGCTTGATTGAAGAGCTTGTTCTTAGATTTTGGTGAAGTTTAAGGAAATAGGAAATTCATATTTGTGCAAGGAAGAAAGGAGCTAGCTTGGATCCATCACTCTCTTTTGATTTCTGAGTTATTGAAGGTATAAAGTTCATACCTTGACACTTGTTCTTCTTGTTTCAAGATCGAGTTCATTTTGGATGATTTTTGGTCACTTCCATTAATGCTCTTAGAGTTTGAGGAACTCTAGAGCTTGTTATGGATCTCAAATGGTCTTTAGGATTCTCATAATGAGTCCAAGAGGGTTCACTATGTAGATATATCTTGCATGTCGTCTATTTTGTCGTGTCATGCCCATGAGGTGCCCAAAAGGTCTCCACATCGTGGTGGCCATTGACTTTTTGTTGAGCGTTGAATTTTCACTAGTTTGACTTAGGGTCGAACTTGGAGGATTTGGATTGTTGATTGAGGATTCATCTCTTTCTGGTGATAGTTAGTTCATTGGATTGAGTTGTACAAGGTGTAATAGTGTTTCTATGCTTCTCAAGTTCTTCAGTTCAAGTGAGTTTCTTACTATGACACATATCCCATTATATATCCTTTACATAGTAGGATAAAGGTACTATAGAGTACAAGTATGCTAGTTGACTAGGATAACTCCTTGTTATGCATATGCAGTGAAGGAAACTTGGTGTCATGGTATGTTAGACCGGTAGGGTCTTGCATGTTGTCCGCATGACAGTGTTAGGAGTTATGTTTTGGTTAGGGTAACTAGGGAAGGCCAGTTATCAAGATTATGTATGTGTGACCAACGAAGGACTTAATTGAGAAGTGGTCAATGACATGGTAACTAGGGAAGGATAACTGACAAGGGAATGTAATATGTTAGTTTATGTTATGTGTTTATGATATATGATTATATGGTAATGATAGCTTTGGTTTTATGTAGTTTATGTTGGATAGCCTGCGAACTCTTGGTTTAATGCTTGTTTGTGATGTTCTTGTCTGATTGTTCGCTCCCAGGTGGATCATATGTTCAACTGTCTATCTGATCCCCAAATACATATGACTCTATGTATGTATGAAAGACCAGGACCTGGCCCCTAGCAATTGTATAGAAGACGCGGATCTGGCCCCTGGAAATTGTATATAAGACCAAGATTTGTCCCCTGACAATTATATGAAAGACCATGATCTGGCCCCTGACACTCGCATGTAAGACCATGATTTGGCCCATGGAAAGATGTAACTATAAGACTATGATTTGGCCTATAGCATTCACTTGGGGTTAGAATGGACCCATTATTTCATATATGATTGATATGCATGTTGATACGAGAATTGACAGGTCGATGTTAGGAGCCAAAAGCTTGTGTGGATGCATTGTATATATATGATGGAGTATGTGGTATATTGGAAAACTCATTAAGCTTTTTTCTTACAGTTGTGTATTAAACATTTTGCAGGTCGTTCGTGAGAAGAGCTCGACGGGACTATACACATGCATGAAAGATATTCGTTTTCGCAGTTTTGTAATTTAAATATGATAATGTATGTTTTTCAATCAATCAAATTTTTTTCAATGGTTTTTGAAACAAATGTTTAATTGGTTAATATATTTTAAAAATAAAAAATCACTTTATAATTTTTGAGACATTACAAGTTTATTGATAAACCTATTGATTTTAATATTTTTGATCTAAAAGTTTGGGATGGTATTTAGATTCAACAACAAAATATATCTTGTTATAGAAAATGGTTGGTTTATCCAAAACAACAAGATAAAGTATTTTGTTTTTGTTGTAAGTAAATTAAAAGTGGTAGTCCTATAAGTGATTTGGTGCCTAAAGGAATAAAAGATCGGAGTCATTTTAGTGAAATATTAGATACACAAGGAAATAGTTTCAAACATACGATTAATTTAAGAACTTGGAGAGAGACATGTATCACATGTATCAGGTTGAATAAAATGAAACATTTGATAAAGAGCTGTTATGATAAAAAGAATGATATTAATTATACATTGGAAAGAAGTTATGATTAAAATAATTGTTGTGAAATTTTTAAAAGAATCTAATTTGGCTTTTCATGGAACAAATGAAATGAATTATGAGAATTCTAATGGTAAATCTTTAGGTATACTTCAATTAAATGATAAGTGTGATATGTCATAAAACGAACATTTTTGGATTATAGGCAAAAAAAAATCATGTTTATTATAAGATATGTAAATGTAGTAAGTGTTTCAATAAAATCGGAAGAGTTTTTTCTAAAGTTTCTAATTATAGAAGCTACTTCAGATAGATTTGTTTAAAGCTTTGGAAAATACTTTAAAATTTCGTAACTTTGGTATTAGTTATATGCGAGGATAGTGGTATGACAATCAATCCAAAATAAAAAGAAAACACCAATGTATATATAAATTATTGTTTGATATAAAACCTAAATTTTTTTATATGGATTGTGAATATGATAGTCTTAATTTAGTTTTATGTAATATAAGAAATTCTTGTAATTAACCAAAACGTTTTTTGGTGCATGTCAAATAATAAAGAAGGGTGGGGTGATTATATCCTCACCCCGCTATGTAATCCTCATACTCATATCTTATAAGAATCTATTTTTTTAACCATATGGTATGGTGATGATATGATATGATGTGATGGTGGATATGATTATGTGTGACAACCCGAAACTTTTGTCCTGTGCAATCGATCTTTAGCAATATTAAACTCAATTTTTATCACCATTTTACGCTATATAAGGGTCCGTTTAAGTGTTCTAAGCTTGAGTACAGTTAGGAATGAGATTAGGAATGAGTTCACATGTCGTTTAGAAACAAAATCGGGCCATACACCCTCATGAGAGGTGTGTACGGCCGCACACATGGGTGTGCGGCCGCACACCCACTCCCCAGCCGCCAACACCACCCTTATATATATATAATATATATATATATATATATATATATATATATATATATATATATATATTATATATATATACATATATATATATATATATAAGGGACCCTTCACTCATTCCTTTCCTTTGGCTGCACTCTACTTTTTCTCTACTACACTACTTTCTCTCTCTAAAAACTCATTCAAGAACACTCTAAAGGGCTTAAAAACGTGAACTATCTCATCAATCAGCTCATTATATCGGTAAGACACTTGAATCAAAGCCTAAAACTCATAGTGTTCTTCGTGTTCTTCATCCTTTGAAGGTGTACGGCCGCACACCTTCATAAGGTGGCCGCACACACACTAAACTCTCCAAAGTGAAGAGTTTTGGCCTTCATTTACTAATAGGACTTGGTATTAGCACAAGAACACCTCAAAAACACCTTAAAATCGACATTTCGGGCACAAACGAGGAGTGTACGGCCGCACACTCCTGTGTACGGCCGCAC